TACATTTTTCATACAAATCGAAACATTGCAATTTTATAAACTACAGTTGTCATAAATGAAAATTGCCTAAGATCTTGGATTGAAGTTTCAAGAGAACTTGTCACAGAAGAAAACAGAATTATACATTCCCATTTCTCGCGGAAAATTCTTCGCGGAAATCACTTTCGTTCAACAAAATCAAATCATTCGGAACATCGTTCGATACGAAAAAAAAAAAAAAAAGAACGAAAGAAAGAAAACTGGTCGCTTTGAGTTCCTCTCGCGTACACCGAGATCCTCGAAGAGGGACAAAGAAAGAGGCGACTCATAAATCGCCTGGCAAGTTAAAAATTAATCGCGATCGAAGTTGCTCACTTAGATTGCTGCAATCTTGAAACGCCCGTGGGCTCGGGAATTACGCTCGCGGAAGGAATATCCGGCCGGATAGCCGGAATTTCGCTGGCAAATTAAAAGGCGGTCGTTCGATGTTTACCGACGAACGACGAGCTATAGTACAGCGAGTGTTCGCCATCACCGACGAAGATTGAAACGGACGCTCAAACGAGAGAACTCACTTGTAAATCAATTTATTCGTTGACGGGCCGCGTGCGGCGGGCCGCATGCACTGCTTCCTTATTAAAATTCGAGGCACGGGCTTGATTTTAACGATCAGGGATACCATGGACCATGCTCATGTAAAGAAACCCGCCCGATGATATAGAGGTATTTGTTTCAAGGATACGTTGAATGAGTGTCATGAGTAATTGGTTAACGAGGGTTAACTCAGTTAAGCAAATATATTAGCTAAAAGCGTTTGGACTTGTACGGTAGTTTACAACAAGAAATTTTGACGCTTTGCAATCCACGCTTGGGAATTATTATAACTAAGTTATTTGATAAATTATTACAATAGAATCCCCTTTATTCGAATTCTTTTACCGATATCCTAACATTACATTTGTCATATTAGTTATGTCGCCTCAATAAAATGTCGGCCAATAAATTATGATTTCTCAGTTAGTAGGAGACAATATTCGAATATTGAGATAATTGAAAAATAATAATTCGGATAGATGCATTGAAACAACGTATCATCTTATTCGACTATGTTAGTTTACTTGAACACATTGAAAGCAAATGATTTTTCTTTGAATTAATTGATCAAACGAAATAATTTCGTAAATTTCAATTTGTATCGTCGCATTTTTGTTTTCACAAGTCATTTTTCAAATAGTTTCGGATTCTATTGTATAAACTTCACCTTCTGCTGTGTGTGATTTATTTGATTTGGACTGAAGATAATGTTACTTTTTCTAAGTTATGCTTTGTGCATTCTATTTTACCTCGTTATCATTTTCCAGACTTTATCCTCAAATATATAAAATTATATGAATAGTCGAAATTCAATAAAATGGTGGAAAAAAGATCGTACATCAAATTTTCTGTCGCAGAAGGAACGCTTCAATCTTTAAATACATACTGAAACAAATTTCTCAATGTTTTTACATATATACTGTGACAATTTATAGAATTTTCGAGGTGAGAAGTGTCTTCACATTCCCACCTGCTACGTGATGTAGAAACTTCTCCGAATGAAATGAATAATGCGTTTTAAAAGTAGAGACATCGAACTTCTCGATTATTAGATTTTATTCTACGAAATTACAGTTTGAATATTTAATGTCCGAATATTAATTTCACAATTATATAGCTTCGAATCTAATTTGAATTGATTTAACAATACCAATTTAAAGGTTAAAAAGTACTGTATAGAATCTAGTTCATAAAATGCACAAAACAACGTGGTTTCGATGGTTATAAACATAGTAAGTTTCTGAATGTTTAAATAGATACGAGGAGTATAACGATCGTTTAATAAATAAACGTTCTTCCACTCTCAAATTTGTACTTCAATTCATTCCGTTCAATTGGTAAATAACGCCATTTCATAAAAGACTCGAAACTCGTTGGAAACACAGAGCGGTCGAAATTCGAGCGAAATCTCGATAAATCGTTCGTCAGCGACCACAGAGCTTTTCCGGTGCGACTTCACGTCAGGTGGAATGACAGTGCACGCGATCTGTCCGAGCCATCTGGTATCGGCGATTGTCGCGCATCGATTGCCAATTCTGTCCAAACTACTGCAAAATAAAAAATAAAAAAAAAAAAAAAAAAAAAAAAAAATCGATGTTGTTCCACGAATCCAAGATGCTGTTGCAGAGTTTAAGGAGGTCCAAATTTGGCTCTCTGCTCAATTCGTGTTGCTAAAACCTGTTAACGACAATTGGAGTACAGTACATGAATACACTGTAAATATTTGGACATTAAATTTTCGATTTTTGGGAAATTGTTAGTAATTAAATTGCTGTAATATATCGTGAAAAGAAATTGCATTCTTTTTTAAATTTTTCATCATATAGCAAGTGAAAAGGTGAACATACTTTTTGTCTTAACAAGTTTCTTAACATTTTTAACAATGTGTTATTTCTTAATATTTAGATATTTTAGTATCTAAATATTTATTTTTGTTCAGATGTAGTGTATGCTGTTCCTACTTTCATATTCCGTAGTGGCGAACTTATTTTGTCACTTGTCAATTAGAGCTAGCAATCATATTAAAAAATAGCAAATAGAAAGGACATCGATAGAAGAAAGTATTTCTCTAAATCTACATACATCCAAATACAAAACAAAGAATTAAGAACAATAAATATTGATAATGCCATGACTACGATAGTACAAGAAAATTTTTATGTAATTTTTGCATAATTCCATAGTTAAATTCTGCACAAAAGATATTGAAAGTTTTCTTTAAAGAAAGAAAAATCTTTTTAATCCTATAAAAAAATTTGAGAATGCTTTTTTAAACTAAAAAACATATACCGTTTACTTTTATGAAACTTTAACTACAAAGCTTCCAAAGTGCTATTATTTTCAAGTGGAGAAATTTATTTCATTTCGAGTAAATGCTGAGTAAAATCTTCTAGAGTATAAAATTTGGGCATTTAGCCCTAAGTGTCGTCCGCTATTTGAATAACACTGCTTTCACGAGAGGAACAAAGTGTCGTGGGTAGCCTCAACCATGGACATCACCGTCAAAAACGTGACAATTTCGCGGCTTCACTATTGATCATGGCGACACGATACGACTTTCGCTTCCGTTCAAATCGATCGGCGACACGCGATTCTTTCGGAGTAAGTTCGTTCACCGAACGCTCTTTTGTTGAGGATTCTGAGACCACGGAGTTTAACGCCTTATTGTTGATACGTTCAATGAATTCTCTCATTCTGTATTTCCTCTTTCTCTCCTCTTTCTCTTCACGACGGTGAAGTCTGTCGTGGGAATTTGTGAGAAATCCGCTGTAATTACATTGTCATAGAAAGGAGTTATTAAATATAGCAATGTTATAGAGTCACAGTTTGTCTATAATTTTCCACAGGGGTCAAAAGTAATAATTATCCCAAAAATCTTCAAAACTATCCTAAAAATCAATAACAGAATAATCTTCAAGTTTATTTATAAAATTATATTAAATTTCATTTATGATGTTATACGTATAATGTTCATTATTTAAGTTAAGGATAGTATAATAATCACGTAATATAAAGAAGAAAGCACATAATTAAAAAATTTCGATTACAAATGACTGAAAATTTTGTTTATTCTCCGAAATCATTATTGACGAGGGGAATTCTATTTCGATCGCTACCATAGTTATCAATCAAGGAAATTTATTCAATTTCCTGATAACAGTTATCTACTACGATGGTTCATAAAAGTATAAAGTATAAAGTCGCAATCGTCGAAACATTCTAAAAACGATAGAACTACTTTTCGATGCAAAGTTGATGAAGGAAACAAACCGAATTTCCCTTATCAATAATTGGTAATATTTTTAGCAATGAAAAAATTTTTCGATCTCTTAAAATCGTTATATGTAACCAAAAAACATTTCAGTCGAAAAAATAGTTGTCAACTTATGACGTTTTTCCACGAGTAATAACAAGTACTTGAAAAAAGAGTATAACAAAATAAGGAGGTCAAAAGTCTTCTTCTATCCAATTTTACTTGATAATACCGTTCGATAGCGTTCTAAAAAAAACATTGTACAACAATTCTCAAACCTCCATTTCAATCAGTTAAATTTAGATTCCTTTAGGTTCGTTTTTGCCTTATTTTTTCTATTCCAGTTGTACATAAAAATTCTGAGAAAATCCTGAGTCATAGGAAGCTTAGCAACTTGGACAATTTTTAGAGAATTTTTATTTCTTCCTTAGTTCAAAAAATGAAAAATCTTA